CGCTGCGAGGTGGTGGCCAGCCAGTCCCACCGGTATAGCGATGCGGCCTGGCACTGCCGCTGCCAGCACGCCGTCCTCTGCAACAACCGGAGAGCTCAGCAGGTGCCCCAGTCACCATCCCACCTCACCATCCCCAGCTGGCACCACCTCCATCCCAGCAGCACAGGGCAGGGGGGGCCACCATCCCCAGCATCTGGGCTTGGTCCCCATCCAAAATCAGGAGAAACAGAACTTTCTCAGAACCAGACAGGCACCAAACAAACAAAACTACTCCTTTTTTTCCCCCAGCTAAAAAGGGCAAGAGCAGGAAGGGGACATCCCTGCTGCCAGAGCAGCGTCCATCCCAGCGGGGAGATGCCCGCCGTGGCGCAGACGTAGTCCTCACCCACCTTTCTTAACGGCGTGCACTTGTCCGAGCTGGCCACAGCTGTGCGTGGAGAGGCTGAGAGCAGGCAGAGGCATTTTGGGGGAGCCCAGCAGGGCTGGGGTGCCGGCCGGCGAGTAGTTGAAGAGCGCCGTGCCGAAAGTCTGCCTCCGTCCCTCCCGCCGGTTGCTGTCGATGGCAGCTTGGAGCTCCCCAGGAGAGCTGAGCGCCCGCTTCTCACATTCGTAGGGATACAGGTACTTCATGTATCTGCACGGGGAGAGAGCCAGGATGAGACCGAGCACCACGCGCCTTCCAGCCAGCCCCGTGCTGAGCGGACACCGGGGCGGGGATGGCATCTGGGAGGGGGCAGAGCCCTCCATCCCCTGTTGGGGCACCCCACGCCAGACCCCGACTGGGGCTCCGGGACATCGAAGCCGATGGGTGCCCCAGGGCGGGTGTCCCCCCAGGTGTCCCCCTGCTGCCAGGCACTCACTGCGTGCGGAGGGTGAAGGCAGCGCTGGTGATGGAGGTAGGTAGGTTGAGGCCCTTGGTGATTTCCCGCCAGATCTTCTTGTTGATGACTTCGACCAGGCCACCCTTGTCTGTCACCAGACGGTACAGTGTGTAGAGGTCCAGCACTTGCTTGGCCATGATGGGGATGCGGTTCACGGGCGTCCCTTCCAGCCGCGTATGGGGGAGAGGAAAGGGTGTGGGGTGAGCCCACGTGGACCCTCACTCCCTGGGGACACGGCCCCCACCCTGTCCCCACAGCCGCTGCGGGTACCGGCTGGCCGCCAAGGGCGGAGCGCCCCTCCCGGGTGAGCACCCAGGGGCACTGGGGTGCACACAGGACCCCAGGGTGCCTGGGAGAGCAGTACCATGCTGGCAGACCCTGGCGTGCTGGCACAGGGTCCCCATTGATGGAGCTGTTAGTGGGGCTGGGTGTGGTCTCGGCTGGGATCTGGGGGCAAGGTGGGATGGGCAAAAGGCCTTCTTCAGAGCCCCTTTGAGAGAGTCCCCCTCCCAACGCTTAGAGCTCCCTAGAAAGCATCTCCTCTCAAAACCTCTCCGACCATCCTAGGAAGACTCTCTTTCTAATCCCCTTTCAGACCCTCATAAATACAGAACCCCCCTTAAACTTTTTAGAGGGACTCACCCTGTAACCTTCTCTGAAGAGGGATTCCCCCCTAACCCTTCTGGAGGAACTCACCACATAACCTCCCTACGGAGAGGTTCTACCTCTTAAAAATGCCCCTCAGAGCCCCATGGAGGGGGACTCCCCCATGAGTGCACGGAGAGACTCCCCACCCCACAGATCCCCACAGCAGCCCCTGACTGCTTCTAGGCCTTCATTGCCCCCCTGCCAAGAGACTTGACCCCAAATCCTCTCCAAGTGTCCCCAACAGGGACGCTGATCTGTGGACCCCCAGCATCGTCCCCCCACCACGGCCATGGGGCAAGGAGACATAGGGTCACCAGGACTCTGTGAGCACAGCACAAACCAGCATGGTCCCCACAGCCACTGGGACCAGTTACAACTCCCTCCCCACTTTTCTGGTATCCCCAAATAGTCCCACAGCCTTGCTCTGCCTCATGGTGACTTGGGGTGACGGTCTGGGCAGTGGCTGGGGGCTGCAGCAGGGCAGAGGAGGGAAAAGGATCCCATCCCACCCCGTATTTATTCCTCCTGTGGGGCGGCGGGGTGCGGATGGTATCGGAAAGCCATCCATTTGGCCTGGGGAGGCTGTCACGGCCGCGCTTTCGCCCCCCAAAGCAAGC